ACCAAATGAAACTGTAGTAAGTTCAATACAAGAGAATTGATCTTGTGGAGTTTCTCGCCACAAAACGTTCTGTAGAAAGTGAAAGGAGGGGTTTAGTTTCACCTGCCGATACATTTTCGTTATGTCAGCAGTAAATGCAAATTTATGAGTTCGGAATCTCGTAAGAATTTCAAACAGTTCGGGCTGAACCTTGGGACCACGGAGAGTGATATCGTTTAGTGAGAGAGCTGAAGTGGTCTTAGCCGAAAAATCGAAAACGACTCTCATTTTCGTAGTAGAGCTTTGGTCTCGTACAACTGCTAAATGTGGGACAAAGTATTTATTTTCAAATTTGGAGTTACAAAGGGCCAGAGGGACTTCCCTTCCGTGTCCTAGCTCGACATATTCCATCAGAATTTTTCTATATTCTTCCTTTAGGAAAGGATGCTTGACAAATCTCTTCTTAAGGGAAAGGAATCTGTTTTTAGCACACATAAATGAATCGCCCAATTCTTTGTGAGCTAAAGGGTGGATGAGAGGGAGGTCGACCTGGTAGCGGCCGTCTTTCAGAATTTTAGTGGTCGAAACAAAGATTGCTTCGGCAAGCTCATCCTGTTCCGAACTTTTAGAAACATCAAGCTCTTGTTCCTGTTGGAAAAAGCGATCTAGCGTTTCATTAAGTGATTCCTCAGTTTCTTGAAAACCAAGGTCGAGTGAAATGTGTACGATTTTGGTGAGGTCGAAGTTGGGGTTGAAGATAACTGAGTGGTACAGAGCCAGACACAACCCATCCTAGCTGTGTCTGTATAAGAGAGGGCAATCCTTTCCCCAACTTTTCAAGTCCTGGTAGCAACAGCTCATAGTAAGCATCAGCCCTATGAGCAAATCAATGCCAGCTGGTTTACCGAAATCGTCGTCGGCCAGCCTATTTAATATATGAGAGGGAATTTTGAATTTTCTTATGTCAATGGCTATCTGAGGTAAGCAATTTGTAATGGAAGGTATTACTGCACAAGAAAGAGTAAACCGCTTAGCCGAAGAATTGCGAGGAAAGATATCTATAGTAACTCTTTCATTAATGACATTACTTTCATTAAGGATTCCCGAGATATGCAGACTAGAAGGATGCCGTTTACATCCTATTGATTTAGCTAGTGACTCAGTGATAAATGAACTTTGACTTCCAGAATCCAGAATGGCTCTGGCTAGAATAGGTCGTCCATTTACTGGATAAATGTGAACTTTTACTGTAGCCAACAAGACGTGAGTATCATGTGTGGTGATGGTCGATAGTACAGTTGAGCGTGAAGTGAAGTCAGTTTGATTTACGACGCTGGACTGGTCAATTTCTGGCTGAGTTGACAGAAGAGTATGGGATATAGGACGAGTGGAAGACTCTCCGTGGTTAAGTGAATGATTAGATGGCTCAATTGCAGTATGAGAGTTAGCTGGTTGGCTGCGAGTGTTGTGTAAGAGAGAATGGTGCCTCGAGTGGCATAGGGAACAGGAAGACTTTGACGAACAGTTTTGTAAAAAGTGCTTACTACCTAAACAGTTAAAACAGAGCTTATTGGCCTTCGAATATTCAATCCTATCAGATACAGGCAATGAACAAAACTTAGTGCATGAGTAGATGCGGTGATTTTGCTGCAAGCAGTAACTACATCCTTTGGACTGTGGGGTATATGGCTTTGATTTTGAATCCATGTGACTAGAGGGGTTTGATTGTGAGTGAAAAGCTACCTTGAACTTACTTGAGTGAGAATGGTCATTACCTTGGAATCTAGTCACTTTAGACGTGGATTGTTGGGCCGCAGTGGAATTCTCAGATGTGATATTTTCCAGAACAACACAACGCTTACTCAAAAAATCGAAAAAGTCATTAATAGAAGGAAGCTGGTCCGCTGAAACTTGCTCTTCAAATGAGCGACGGGTGCTGTAATCAAGTTTTTGTTCCAATAAATGAACAAGTAACGATTCAAACAATTCTGCTTTACTTAACTTTACCGTGTCTAAGGCATCGAAAATTGCCTTAGAATTTGCAACAAATTGTCTCAGCGATTGCGAAGTACATTTTTGTAATGTAGGAGTGGCTAGTAACTGCTGATAATAAGAGCGAATTATCTGCCGTTGATTACTATACCGGCTGTGTAATAAATCTAAAGCTATGACAAAATTATCATCAGTTACCGGCAACCTATCAATTAGCTTTAACGCTTCTCCTTTGAGATATGATTTCAAATAAAAGAATTTCTCAACATTTGATGATAACTGTGAATTATTGACAATTAGGGCTCTGAATAAGTCGAATAAACGAAGGATATTCGATGCAATTTCCACTAAATGTGGCAAGTGAATATTTGGTAGCTTAATATTTATATGAAAGTGGCTACTACGAGAAAATGACCAGGATCTGGTCGAGAAGACACTTGATTTAAGGCTTCGACTTGAGCTTGTAGGGTACATTTTAAATCCAGACATTTATTTTCGTATTCCTCTCTGTCCTCGGAGTCACTGGGTGAGTCTAGTAACTCAATTTCATTTTGAATGGAGTCATATTTAGCTAAGTTCTCATTGAGAATATCTATACGAGACATCAACTGATGTTTATCAGCACAAGAGGTATTAGCGCTGTACCACTTTTCTATGCGGGTGAATTGCGCCTTGTAAGTACTACGCTTTTTCTTAAGAGTGTCCATGTTTGTATTTACAAACAACGAGTTGACTGCGAATTTGCTAAGAACTACTTATATTAAGAATACTAAAAAAGAGAATTATTTTTTGCTGAACTAACCCTTCAAGTAAAATGCAAAGATAAGACACAAAGTGAGAGAGAGAGAGAGATGCAGAGAGGTATATATTTTTTTTAACGATACTTCTAGAGAAATACAAAAGGGTAAACGCTGAACCCGACACAGAACGAGAAATAAAAAGAAATATTCTTGCTAAATCCAAATGAGAGTAACAGTACACAACATAAAATAAATTATTCAATATAAATAAATTTTACATTAAAATATACTATGAAACAATATGTAAATTAAGTTTTCTATTATGTGTAAAAAATCAAGAATTAAATTATATTTAAATTGCAACTTTGTGACTCACACTGTAACAGAATCACCAAATATTATGAGAAGAGTGATAGCTTGATTGATAATCTACGGTTCTATATTAATATTAAATACAAAATTAAATAATGCATATGCCAATCTGGTTTACGATGAAATAAATAAAGACATGCAAAATAAAACAACTAATTTGTAGCTTTTATTATTCTCGTAGCATCATCTGAAACATACAAAAAACATACAAAAAAAAAACATTCCAGACCGGCATAGCTTTCTCAAATTCATATAATCTAAATTTTATGTTCTAAATTACTTAATTATATTCACTTCTGAGAAAACAATCTGCTTATGCGGTTAATGCTATCACTGCACTTTGTTTATTAAAGAAAGAGTTTACCTCGATACACTAGGCTTTCGGGGAGGCCTATGTCTACCTGCGTCTGCTTCTTGCGGCTGCTGCTGTGCACCTTTCAACTCGATTGGGCTTCAATTGTACAGCTGATCATAGAGAATCCTTCATCCGGTTCGAAGATAGACCATGGAGAAAATGCCGGCGTTGGGGGTGGAATTAGTGGCGATTCCACGTGCTTTTGATCTGCTATGAACTTATATCGCCGGTATTCTCTGGGGTTTTTAAGTGGACTGTATTATTTTGATGTCTATTGTGCGTAAAGAATACAAGTAACTTGTAGCTAATATTTATTTTTCTACGTACTATACTTAACACAAAAACACACTATAGAACGGGTACAATATATACACAAAGGTTACACAAAGTTATGGTTCACATCGCGGAGACAACTTTCCTTATTGTTAAACACTTGAGAGAGAACGCTCTGAGAATCGCAATTACCAAAATCACAAATTTAAGTATTAAGAGCACATCCTTCTCCCGCGAGGGTTGCTAACAGAGAGAGTGGCTTTATATTTCTTCGACCATCGGTCGCCTAAATCGGGTACTAAGTAATTGTTCATAGGGTCCGAGTACCGTTAGAGATTATCCAGTACCGTTAGGATTTATTTGTAATGTATTGGAATGAATGAACGTCTTGGCCTACAGGGTGGAGTAAAGTTAATGAACAGGGGGAAATATACTATTTTGAAAATTACAGGGTTGTAAACAAAATCAGTTTACAACCAATACTATTTACAATAGATCGATACAAATCTTAGCACCCGCTGAAGACATTGACTAATAGGGCGTAGCAAGTGAGATGTTAAGTAATATTTCCTAGAATTGGAAGCTGCGGTGAAACAGCTTGGTTTCTAAGGTACTAAGGATCATATAGCAAATAAGGAACGGAAACAGCATTTGGAAGTCATATCTTTGAACGTGTTGACATTTTCACATACCTGGTTCGCTAGTGACTACTACCAATAAAACAAGCGAAGAAATTAAAAGACGAATAAACCTTACAAATAGGACATACTAGGGACTCCAAAAACAATTTCACTCAAGAAATATCCAAAGAAAAACCAAAATTATTATATACAAAACACTGCTAAGGCCGGTCTTTACATATGAGGCGGAAATACGATCAAGGATAGTGGCGGAAAAGATTTAATTTCATTATACCAACTCTTTAATGAACCAGACATCGTAACGTTCATTAAAACACAGTGATTTGCTAAAAAGCTAGCGACAGAAACACCTATAGGAAGAAGAAGCAAAGGCCGACCGCGAATTAGGTGGTTAGATGGAGTTACGACCGACTTTAGGCATACCAGAGATGGCAACACGTTGCCTGAAACCGAACAGAATGGCGACTAATCTTAGAGCAGTTCATAGAGGATTGTAGAGCCAAAGATGATGATGATGAATACATTATTTTGAATTGCTACATAACAATTTTTTTTTGGCATAAATGTTGGTACAAATTTTAAATCAAAATAATAATATACGTTACAAATATGTACATGCATTAACTTAACAAAACAAATTATATTTACCATCAGCATTATATCCACCTTCTATTTGGTATGCACTTGATGCAGTCCCGAACAGAAAGCCTTCTGGAAATCGTTTTTGATCTTCACTAAAACAACAAATATTTAGAAAAGACAGATTTGATTTTACGTATAGTGCCTTTGCATATTCGCTTATACCTATTTCGTCCTACCATGACTCATCAGAGCGAATCTGCAGAAGCCTAGAAAAAATATCTATCTGTCTTTATTGTCATACAGTGGTTGACACAATGATTAAACTATTTTTTATGAAATAGCAATACATAGTTACTTGGAACATTAGATGCTTCTTCTTCTTTATCACGTTCGCGACGACGCAGAATTCTGAGATTTTACCTCTCAGTCGTAATTTTCTTTATATATATTTTAACTAACATTCTGTATTTTGCATAACATACTCGCCGGCTGTAGTGAACATTCTTCAAGAAAAAACGTCGTGTACCACCGGTGGACACAATGTGAAGTCGTGGGTGTCGTAGTATTTTGTTGCATTTGTAACGGTTTTTTGCCTGTTTGGGTTACTGTTGAAGTTATACATGTAACCTAAACATATACGCAAGTAAAAGTGGTTCAAATATACCTGACAATGATTTTGGACATTTCTACGATATTTGCATGGGATTACTTAAGGGGCTTATGTATGAAGGAAGGATACTATATATTAATAATTATTATACTAGTGTAAATTTATGTAAAAAGCTTCTTCAGTGTAAAACATATGTTTGCGGAACTCTTAGATCTAATAAAAAAAGTCTCAAAACTGTATGTCAAAAAAATTGAAGAAAGGACAAATATATGGAAAACAAAATGATGAACGCATAAGAGTTGTAAAATGAATGGACAAATGTCCTGTATTAATAGTTCCCAGCTATACAGTAAACTTCCAACCGACAGGAAAAAAAATAGACAAAGTGAAGACATTCTAAAACCATCTGAGGTTATTGCGTATAATAAGGCAAAGAAAGTTGTGTACTTGTCCGATCAAATGACTTCATATTATACCCCTTAAGAAAAAGCATTAAGTGGTACAAGAAAGTGTTTTTCGAAATTTTTCTTGACAAGTACATAGTAAATATGTGGGGTTTCTTTTTAATAATTATGGTAATAATCCTAAAACATGCAATATGTCGCGAATATATTCGCGAAAAAATTATTGACGGACTATTAATACAAAGTACAGAAAGTCCTCGTGAAACAGATATTGTTCCAGTGAAAAACACCAAAATTATCTTTGGTAAAGCATAAGATACTAAAATATGAAGGTAGTGCTAGACAAACAAGAGACGCTGCTTTTCATGTTATAAGAAAATTCAGGATACACAAGGATCAAAAGCAGCCCGAACAAAAACAAAAAGAGTGTGTACATACTGCGATACATGTGAGGATAGACCAACTATGTCCTTCAGTTGCTTTAACGAAATTCACAAACCCACCTAGTTTTGTATAATGTTTAAATTATCAATCTCTTAAGTTTTGTACATTATCTATGTTATACTACGATATTTTAATGTTAACAAACCATTTTTACTGCAGTTTTTTTGCCTTTATTTGTAACCATATAAATTATGATATACCAAAACGACGGCAAGCCCATATATTTAAACTATACTTTAAGTGTGTACGCAATATAAAGAAGATATCAATTAACTGTTAGGTTTTAGAGAGTTAAGAAATAGAAAGATACCGTGTACCTCCAGTGGCCACAAACGGCTGAATAAAAAGTTAGGCATATACCACCGGTGGTACACATCGTCGCGAACGTGTTAAGTTCCATCTCCGCGACGAAGGTTGGCAATCATCATGACTATTCTGACCTTCGAGGCAGCTGCTCGAAACAGTTGCCTTGAGCCTACGTATGGAATCCTTAACAATCTTCTAAATGTCCACATTACAAATGCGTTAAGTCGATTCATGGTATTACAGACGCTTGGGCATCGGTAATACCATGAGCCTTTCACACACTATACGAGTAGAAGGTGTATTTAATAAAGCACTAACAAATTCTCTTTATGATGCAGAAGCATTAAAAGTTATATCCGCTACTGTATACAACTGGATCAAATGCTTTCTCTCTTTCTGTGATTCAGTCAATTTGTGTCAATAATGTTAAAAAACCCTGAGGTTTCCAGAGCAACAACTTACACATCCACGGAGGAAGCTAAGCTACCCGAGGAAAAGAATGCCAAACGTTTAAGAACGTTGCAAACAACAAGAAAAGGTTAATGCGAGTTAATACAAAGTAAAGTTAGTAGGTATATCGGCATAGCTCGTAACATAGCTTCCTCCGTGGATGTGTTAGTTGTTGCTCTGGAATCCTCAGAGTCTTCCAACATTTCAGCTTAACCCTGCTTTCTCATTACATGTTCGTACCATAAAAATTGTTTTAACTGTATTTTATGTAGAGTATTATATATCCTTGATGTTTTTTTCTTGTTTCTTAGTTTGGTTAAAATTCTCAAAATTACGTTACGGATCCCGTTACGAATGTTGGCGATCGTCATGGCAATCTTTATCTTATCTGCAGAAGTGCGGAAAAGCTGCACAGATATTGTATTGAATCAGATTCTGAGGTTCTTAAACCAAGTTGTTCTTCTTCTTTTTGGACCTCCTTTTCCAAATATTTTTCCTTGCAGGATGGCTTGAAGGAGAACATAACTGGATTCATTTCGCATAATATGTCCGAATAATTGTAACTTTCGAGATTTGATGATGGTCAGTACCTTTTTTAGATAGTCCATGTCTATAAAGTCAATTTGTTTTTTCTATTTTTTCGTTATTTGCCAACATTCCGATCCATATGTTAAAATTGATTCTACAACCGATTGTCATTTTTGTATTGAACTCTACTTTTAGTACACCAAAACAACGCGTTTATATTACTGTCCAACTTTGTTGCATTTTTTGCTTTTTAGTATCTTATGTAGATGTTCCTTCTTTTGTTATTATTTTATTACACTGACAAATGCTCCAAAACACAATACTATGCATACAAATATTTTATAGCTTAATTAAGAACCCTTTTTAAATAAAAAAAATGCCATTTTAGTAGGTAGATTCGATAATTCGATCACCTTTGTATAAGCTTATCACAACAAACTTACCTATTTGACATTACAACACACAATAAATAAAGTCGGTACAAAGAAACTAACACAATTAAAAAAAAATTATCTTATGTAAATACAATAATAATCACTCGGTGCTTGACAAAGTTGAATTTAAATAAGATAAAATATATTACTCGATAATTTTAACATGGTAATGCTACTTTATGTGATGTTATTTATATTTTCAATATATGCATATATATATATATATATATATATATATATATATATATATATATATATATATATGCATATATATAGATATATATATATATATATATATATATATATATATATATATATATATATATATATATAGGGCTATTTGTTAACTATTTTTTACTCGAGCTTTGAATTGTGTTTACAATTATTATCAAGAGCTGGTAAAAAATACAAAATATCTTACAAAGTTGAACTAGAAAGAAAAAAAATTTTGATGGATTCGACCGTTACTTGATGGAAATTCATTTTATGTAACAATAAAACACTGAAAACTTTGTTTTCAAACTTCCACAAAATGTATTTTAAATCTTATCACTACAGCTGTTCCGGCTGATTGCCTTTCTCAAGTGATCTATTTTTGGCTTGGGTTTACAAATTTATAGTCTCTAATGAAATAGGTTGAGGAGGGGAGAACTGTTTGTCTCAAGTTAGTTATTCAGAATTATGTCTGTGTTTTTTAATTTGTTGATTTCCATAGATTCTAACAAAGATAGCTTAAGGCCTTTAATGTGAAGAATTTTAAATTTGTCATTAAAATAATGATTATGATTTAGAAGGTGAAGCCCTTGAAAACCCTTTTATGTTCTGCTATTCGTTTATCAAAGTTTCTACCAGTTTGACCGATGTAAGTTTTTGGTCAGTCGCCACATTGAAGTTTTTACACACCACTATTTAAGTGTTTTTTATTTTGGCTCTTGTTATTTTTAATATATTTGCCTAGGTTGTTATTTGTTCGGAAAGCTGGTGTTATTCCTTTCTTTTTTATGTGTTTGGCAATTTTTGTTGTTATTTTGCCTGTATATGTAATCGAGCAGAAGGTACTGGGTTTTTTCTCTGGTGGTGGAAATACTAATTTCAGGGCTTTCTTGTGTAGTTTTTGATTTAACATTTTATTAATTGTTTGTTCGTTGTATCCGTTGTTTACTGCTATTTGCTTAATTATATTTAATTCTGTCTCAAAGTTGTATTTTGACATCGGAATTTCTGTTAATCTATGTAACATACTATGATAAGCTGCCAGTTTATGTTGTGTTGGATGGGATGATGAATTGTGTATAGTCGTGTCAGTATGGGTAGGTTTATGAAATATGGAGAAGTCATGTTTGCTTTGAAGTCTGCTAATTTTTAAATCTAAAAAATTTATGGATTGATTTTGTTCTGTTTAGAAGTTCTGTTTGAGTTGCCTGTTAGTTCCTGTGAAACATACCAGTACGTCGTCTACGTATCTCCACCAATATAAAAACTGTTTGAATACGGGATGTTTTGAAATCTTTGTCTCTACATGATCCTCAAAACATAAGTGAGTGATACGGTTCCGTTCTAGTTCGGAAATAGAAAATAACTTTCAGTTGCACGAAAAATTATTCCTATTAAAAATATACGACACACACACACACACACACACACACACACACACACACACACACACACACACACACACACACACACACACACACACACACACACACACACATAATAAAATAAATCCCAGCTTCAGTTTAAAACAAATAAAATATAGATTTTATACCTACGCAAATCTTTAAAAACTATAATTTTTTCCTACATCTTAAAAAGTCATAAAAATTAAGAGTTGAAAAAATTAAATAGTTTAGCCCTAGACAAATAACTAGAGAAACGAAACCTAATTTTTAAACATACATATCATAACATACATATAAAGATATATACATTTTAAACATACATATCATAACATACATATAAAGATAACAAGCACAATGCTGCCATTTTCCTCCTCCTAATTATATTTTGCGTAGTGTTTATTCGATACATTTTTTGGTTAAGCGATGTACACCATCGTGAAAACAACCTAGAACTGAAGTTGGACCGCTACATAGATAAGAAGGTTAGGTTAGGTTAGGTTAGGTTAGGTTGGACCGCTAGTTGGATAGAAAGTCGGCTGGTCGGAGCGTGAGTGGAGACGAACATCCATTTTTAGTAGTCCTACTAAGTGGGACCACAAGTCGGAACGTGAATGGCCTGTCTTAGCTGAGATTCTTATCAGTACGGACCGACAAGGACTCCTAAGAAGAAAAAAAGACCAAACATGTTGGCTGTCGAAGCATGTCAGCCACAGTGATGAGTAATGTTGGCGATCATTTACCTATATTAGTAAAATCCAGTCGCTTGAGGTGTATAAGGTGTGCACAACATGAGAAAGATAAACGTATCAAATTTATTTGTAAAATGTGTGATGTTCCGTTATGTAGCGATTGTTTTACCACATATCATGTATAAATATTTATCGTTCATGTATAATGTTGGGATTATATATCCCATACAAAAATACTGTTAGGATATAATATAATCACATGCATTTTTTACCAAAAAAAAATGAAAAATAAAATTTTTTAAACACATTCTTAGTTCTTTTAAATGCCCTAGCACAACAAACTACAGACAAATATATCAAATTTTAAAATAAACAAATCAGGAGTAAAAGGGTTAACTATTCAGAGTCTACTATGGAATGTTGGTCATTGTTTTCTTCTGTAACGTTATGTTCATTTTTTGAGATATACAAAGAGATCTTTAATGTAGTGATTTCTCACTTGCTTTTAAAAAACAAACAGTATGTACCTTTTCAAAGTTTAAATTTCGCAACACAAGAGATAAAAATAAGTATTAAAGTCTAAAAATAAACGTACAGAAATAAACAAGTTTATTTCAAAATAACATTATTATTTTTGCTAAATTGACGTCTGCAATACTATAGTATTTTTTACAGTACTGATAACAGCACCATCTCAGTTCAAAGGCCAAATAATTTTCGCATATTAGATACTTACAGGAGTTCTTAAATTTGATGCATAACTTTTAAATTTTTTTCTGAAGAAAATAAATTTGCTTTAAAATATACCACCACAACCACTCAGGAAGAAAACGAAGAGTATTTTGGAACAGCTAAAAATAAAATGATAATAATAAACTCACTAACCATCCAATATCTTACTGGATGTTCAATCACAAATTAATCCCTTAATTTGTAATCTCACATTATTCTTAATTTCTTAACTTTTTATAGTTTTACCGTGTATGATTGAAACATTGTGAAAACATATCGTGTAATATTTTAATCACTAGTCTATTTACCTACAATTTAATAAATTGCCGAATAATATATTTTTCAATTGAACTTCCTAAGTGTTGCAATTACGGCCTCGATTAAATTATATTGTAAGCTCATAGTTCAAAGTTTGTTAGTATGATAGAAGCATTAACCTCTGTGCTAAGGTACACATTATTTGTGAAATTATAAATTGGAGATTTGAGTTCATTTGAGCGCAGTCTATTATAGAAAGTTACCTAACCAAGAACTAAAGTGTAATTATTAGTAGCTGTCAATAAAACCATAATCTTTACTCCACAACTTCAACGTTTTTTGTATCATCGTCGATCGAGAAGAATCGGACAAAGGGGCATTACAAAACGATTCGATCCTTCTAACTAACTAACTACATTCGAATCTGTCCGTCGGAAGTTGCTAAGCATTTGCTGAAAGTATATATAAGGAACGCATAGCTCAGCAAGCTTCATCAACAGATAGATAAAAAACTATTTCTAAACTTATATACGAACACTACAATTCTCCACCGTGAGAACAATAAGTCTAAAAGAAAGTTCATTGAAATGTCTTATATTTTCCTTAACGATTTTTCTATCAATGTTAAGAGTGACATTAAGAATATAAGCGATATATACCACTTCTTACTTAAATCAGATACCAAGAACAATACAACATCACAGATAACTAACTTGTCTGATATATCTATTAACAACTAACCTACTTTAATAATAATTTTCATTAACTAAAAAAGATAACATTCCCTTGCTTTTCTTAGATACATCTCAATAAGATATTATTATAATAATACATGAACAATATACTAATTAAAAAAGAATTTCAATTAAGAAAATTCTAAAATGATATCTCCCCAAACTGGTATCTAACTTCATCGGTTTTACCAATGAACCTTAACGACATAAAAATCCAAAAACACTACTTGTATTTGTCAGCGCTTGCGTTCTAAGAAAACAGAACCTGACATTCAAACTTTATAACAATCAAAAATTTAGTTATTGCCGACAATTCAAAGAATTACTTCCTTTAAATGTAGTTACATTGGGTTTTTCGATTAACCTTGGGTAAACCTTTGCGTTTTAAGTTCAAAGCTACCATACATTTCCAACGTTAAAAAAAACTTTTTTGCTCATAGTAACAAAAAACACCACTATGTTGTTACTAGCTAAGTTTTTTAACATCCTAACTCGACATTTCTAAAATTTACGGTAAGATAAATGTTTTTTATTAGATAATATATGGTAGCTAATTATAATTTATTCTCTTTCAGCCCTGAAGAAGCCAAATTAATTCTCTTTTGCGAAAACATTCGGCGAAATAATTGATACACATTAGAGTTTTTCTTGCAGATTTCCCCAATATTTAAGAGTTTACTATATATATATATATATATATATATATATATATATATATATATATATATATATATATAATCGACTATTAGAATACTCTATCAGATAACTATATATCTCGTGCATCTGGTGTATCCATATCTATTCTTTATCGAATTATAACATCCCATAAATTTCACTCGTATAAAATACGATTACTTTATCAAACGAAGATGATCCCGATCGTCGGCTTCAATTTTGTCAAGAATTAGGTGAAATCATAAATAATAACCAAATTCGATTGTACAATACGTGTTTTTACAACGAGTATACTTTTATGTTAAATATTGAAGTTAATAGACATAATTGTCGTTATTGGAGTAGCAATCCTCATTTATTCATTAAGACACATACACAAACACTTCAGAAATGAAATGTATTGGTTGACATTCTTGAAGAAAATCTCAACGGAACAACATATTTAAATTTGTTAGAAGACCTTATTGATTTGCTGATCACTGACACATTGGAATTTGATAATAATATTTTAGCGGATGAACTGACTTTCCAACAGGACTGAGCATCCCAAATAATGGAATACGGATAAGAAAATTTTTGAATCAACATTTTTCAGGGTATTGGATTGGCAGAAGGGGTCCAATAGAATGGCCAGTCAGATCACCGGATTTTTCGCCTTTAGATTTTTTGTGGGGATACCTAAAATCAAAATATACGCCACTCCGCTTGCAGATCTTGTAAAGTTACGACAAAAAAATGCCACGACAAAGAATGCCGATTGTTAACACCGGAGGTATTTGCAAACGTACGAAGATGCTTTGAAAATAGACTGTATTATTGTATGGATGTCAAGGGAGATCATTTCGAACATTTAATTGGTTAATGTTTTTGTTATTACTGATATTCAACCAATAAATCCTCTAAATCCAAAAATATCTTCAAAGTTATTCCGTTTCAAGTTTAAAACTTGACGTTTTGGCACCCATTTTGAAGCCATTATCAAGAGATCGAAAGGGATATGGTTCCGTTTGAGTTCGGTGTCTTAATCTACCAACTTACCTCACTCGTGACGTACCAGTATCTTGTTCTCCAGAAATACGAGAACCGACAAACGGCACTGAGGTTTTTATACCCTCAGTATGCGCGGAAACGGTCTCAACGGGATCTTTTAGCACCATCGCACGTGTTAAAGCTGTTAGGGCGTTTTTCAATTTCGATGGCTTTACGGATAATTTTCTCAATATTAAGGAGTGGATGGGAGCGATGGTTTTTAATTTTTCGAAATTTATTTTGTGATTTGTTTAAATTTGATGTTGGCTAGGGCTGATCGGAATGTTTTACAGATATAGAATGTTCGTAAATACGGTTATGGATTAGTCGATTTGTCTGTCCTATGTATATTCGTGGGTAACTGGAAAAAGGTATGTCGTAGACACCATGCTTTTCATTGGGGATTTGATCTCTTACGGATCTAACGAGATTGGACATCTTGGAGTGACTAGTGAAAAGGAGTTTTGATGATTGGAGGCTTAAGACTTCTACTGATCTTGTTAGTGACACTTTTGATAAAAGTTACAAAGATTTTGGGTTGATAGGCGGCAAGGTTTCTTATTCGGATGGAATGAGACTTAGATATATGTATAGTTATGATATAAATAGTTTTGGAATGAAAAGTATGTACTAGACATACAGTGCTTTGTAAGAGATAATGTGTCTTGGGGGACTTGACGTTGAGAGTCCAAGATGGAAATAGTTTCATCAATAGGAATGTTGGTGAATAAAGTAACAATGTCAAAACTAACTAATATACATTAGGGTGAAACAGAATTGTTTTTTAGAAACATTTCTATTTCAGTGGGGCAGTTGTATGCATTGACGTGGGTCTTAGGGGGACATTGGCCTTATAGATTTTTTGTAGGCCGTATATTCTTGGAATTTGTGACGATTTTTTCCTGGGTATAAGAGATTGTTTGATGTCTGGAGATAGAGTGGACTTCGGTAGGGGCAACTTTAACTTGGTCGGAAGGAAGATAAAAAATAGCTTCTTCAGTTTAAGAGACAAGATGCCTCCAGAATTCTCCTCTGTACTTCCGTACTTCGTAGTTCCAAAACCCCCACCGTCAAATATCAGTCTTTCAGAAAGGCGTACTCTCAAAGAACTTTATAACAACCTTGACATTGTCATTCTTCCGGCCGACAAAAACAATGCCACCGTCATTCTCAACTCTTCTAATTATTTCGACGAAATGTTCGAACTTATCAATTCCACAGAATTACAAACGCGTCTCAAACGATCCCACCACTTTCTAGAACAAACGACCAAATCCATCACAAATAAGTTCATTCTACCTCCAGACATCAAAAGATCTCTTTTAGATAGATCTAAATACGATAGATCTAAAGACCTATCGTCAGTGCATACAACTGCCCCACTCAGAAACTGGTAAACATCTCGTCTTATTCTTACAACTGTTAGCCGAAAACGCCTCGTCCTTTGTCAAAAATTCTTCATTGATCTTCTGAAAAACATTTCTACTTTACCCTCAGATATACTAGTTAGTTTTGACTTGGTTTCTTTATTCACCAACATTCTTATTGATGAAACCATTTCCATCCTGAACTCTAAACATCAAATCCTTAAGACACATTATCTCTTATAAAACTCTGCATGTCTAATACATACTTTTTATTCCAAAATCATTTCTATCGTCAAATCAAAACATTTCGAAATAACATTTGCGAGTGGAAGTGCAAGAACACAAACTTTTCATTAATAAACGAGAAATTTTTACATTTTCCTCGCACATAATGCGTATATGTTGTTTTATTGTTATGATCAATTAAAAGATATTATAAACAAACACCTGACTCCAATTAAAAACATTCCATAAATAAAAACAGTACAACAAAACACTAATTTCTCTGAAATTGGCATTCCGACTCGTTATTTAAGATCAAAGTTCTCCGAGCAGATAAAAAATTTCTTACAAAAAGTCGAAACTTTCCATGGAACGTACGATCCAGCGATCGTCTTCAAACACTAGTTCAAAATATTTATACATTGATTATAAAAATGAAATTATGTTGATAAAATGGTATTTTCGTAACTGTTTCTTAGTTAACTGATTGCAGTATTAATTGAGATTTTCTGAGGTCAACTGCTTACGAATTCGAAATCGATAATGTCAAGTAAACTAATTAAGATTGGGTTTATTGGGGGTGGCAAAATGGCACAAGCCATGGCCAAAGGGTTTATCAGCACAGGTAAGTTCTTATTTTTTGTTATTAATAAGGTTTTTTGACTGGGTAGCATCAGTCATCCTGGTACAATAATTACAGTTTTTTCATATAATTTTTTTTCGTAGTAAATTTAATTTTGATCTTGCTTTTCTTCTTCTTTCTCATACCATTGCAGTCATGGAGATCTAAATAGTTATTTTGCTGTAGATATTATTTGTTAATATTCCTCTTTCTTTCGTTATTACACTGATTCATCATTACTTTAGAAGTTTTTGGGATAAAAACGAAACAAAGAAATATATTCTACGTAAATTTTGCACAATTTTCTTGTTAATTTATTTTTATTCTATTAATAGATACTGTTATCAATATAGGTTGGTTATTAATTATACAAAACAATTTCACAATGTTTTAAATTCCAAAATTACAAATATTGTAGCTCTAGATATTTGATGGTGGTCATTACCTCTCGGTTTTTCTTCATTCTTCTAAGAACCTCACCATTTGTGACTCGGTCAGCCACATCTCAAATGCGTTCAATCGTCTACGCATATCTCCGTTTAAGGTCCATGATTCAACACCCCAAAAAGACAGAGACGGTGTAGCATTGCAGCATTCTTATTTTTATACGAAGGTGGAAGTTGTGTCTCTTGAAGGAGGCCTCCATTCAGTTGAAGGTGGAACTAGCTTTTCCGATACGCCCTCTTACGACTGGGTTTTGGTCTATTCTTCATTTATTATGGTGCCGAGGTAGTTATAGTGCGTCACTCTGTCTAATACGCGAGTCACATAAATTATTTTAACTTCTTTTATTCGTGTATTAAATCTGCAAACTAGAAATCTTCATTTGGGCAATCAATATTGCATCGTCTGTGCAACAAAGAATTTTAGTATCGCTATTTCCCATTATGTATCCTCTTCCTTCAGTGAAGCTTTTTATAATTTCATCCTTAATTAGATTCAATAGCATAAGACTTAGTTAATCCGCTTGTCTGATTCCAAGTTGCAGTAAATTGAGAACCTACATATATTTCGTAATGTTTGTTCAATATTTGACATATGAAAAATATATATTTTTCGTTGTATCAAATCTTACATTCATAATTTCAATATCAAAATCGCCTTACCAATCCCTTTTTCTTTCGTAGACAACAGACGCTTTTTCTAGAATCCTAGACCTTTTATATCTTTATGGAATAGTTTTGGTTATTACTGCTCTCTTCTAATTTGTCTCCAAAATCTTTCCAGGATCGTTGTTTTGCCTCAAATATTATATTTTTTACTATTTTACTCTGCTCTCTGTATGTTTTATAATTTTCATCTGTTCTGTCACTTAAATATTTTCTCCATATACCTATCCTTTTTAATTGTATTTGACGCCTAATTTCCTTCGTCCACCATACAGTCATACTGAACCCGAACTGAATTACCGCTGAACTTAAAATCTACCTAACAATATATATGATCGTTCAGCTCTTTGCGTTGCGTTTTCTCTCGTGAAATACAATCATTGTCCATTCACAAACACCTAAATTAACTACAGTGGGATGCTGTTTGTGCATGGAAAATGAAGAGATTCCCCAAATCGCCCAAATGACATATCTTCCCATCTGATATGTTAATATCGTTATTATTTGCAGCTGCAATACCAAATACAACTGTGTTGTTATGTCAGTCTGTCAATACTGTTATTTATTTTGTTATTCATAATTTTCTTTGTTAGTCGTAGTATGGCGCCATCTATTAGATATATTGCGATTTAAAATAGCAAAAAAACTGTTTTTTACATATTTTCGTACAATTTTTTGAAAATTATCTCTTACACAAACCTTGTCCTAATATTAACAAACACAAAAAAAGAATAATCTAATTTGGTACAGTCGTTTTGAAGTCATTTTGTCTAGGCTGTAAAATTCCTTATGTACAAGACACGATACGACAAAAATAACAAAAGCATACATAAAATAATTATCGGAGAAACTTGAAATGATAGGAAATAAATTCAACATTTCAACAACATTTAAAACAACAAACACCTTGAGATATATTTATCTAAAACTAAACCTTAGCAATGAAGAAGAGAGAACAAAGGATTGTATTTTTAAAATACCTTGTGAATGCGATCATTTTTATTTAGGTGAAACATCAAGACCATTAAATGTTAAAATAAGTGAACATCAATCTTATATTAAAAATAGAAAATTTTATAGACCTCAAATAAGTAAACACGTATGGGAAAATGAACATAAAATTCAAAGGCTGCCATATGTCCAACGATAAACGTGTTCTACTAGGTAGAGATTGTTAAAAATCATGTGCCAAATATCAAACATTGACCCATTGACGTCATAAACTTCTTTATCCAAATGTTTTATTATTTTTAATCCAGTATCTTATCAACTACAGACATAGTAACAAAATATATGAGCAAAATACTAATTTTTTATAAAATCCGTCCGTGAGGCCAAAAAATCCATATAGTAAATACATTTTACATAACGGCTACTTAGTACCTTTGACCGAGTTTCTGTACAAATATAAACCAGCAGATAATTATATTACGTTGTAGATAATTTTGTATAAACTTTTATCGGAATGTTTCAATAACAATTCCTCAACAAACAATGTATTGATCTATCGGAATAGCAACATGTCCGTTAAAGTAAATATTTTCAATGATTTTTTCCATTATCTTTTACAAAGACACGAAAGAGACCTCGTGATGGAAAATTTTTCGTAAATGGGGCAATTTTGGCAAATTTTGTGACGTCAAAACAAGAAATGAGCGAGAAATAATATTAGACTATTTCAGATCCAATGCCTATTTCTATAGATAAAACACTACATCGTTTTAGATGCATTTCTCCACTTTTTTTTCGAATGTATTAGTCTTAATTGCAGCTAATTTAACGTGTTTTTAAAATAAACACAAATTATAATTTTATTTTGATTCCTTTGCTTTTAGGTACAATAACTATATTAGTAGCCCACTTACTACTCTTTATCTTTAATAAAATACCCGTACTGACTGTTCTACTTAACTCTTCCTCTACTTTTGGTTTCAACGCATACGTCATTTCATAAGCTCTGTGAAAGATTGGTTTTATACCATTCCTCATTTAATATGCATTTTAAAGTCTTCAATATTATGGCTTCTTCCCTGAAATTTTTGTTCAATTTTGCTTTAATCCTTAATAAGACATCGTATATAAGGAATATTATTAATTTGTTTGTTTATATACTTTTGGTATCTAAATGAGGTAAATAAAACATTTTTTAAGCCCTTCTCTTTATTCAGATTGCCGAATGTAAACCTCTCCTATCCTACTTCTCTTTATTTTTAAGTACGTATGAGAGCTTTACGAATGCTACTCATCCCATTTTTACACTTTTGCTTGTTTCAGCAGTCTCATTTCCTTTGCTTACCTTGACGTTTTGACCCAGATATGTATATTCATCTACGTATTCTATCTCTGTCCCTTGGATGTTTATCATAAGTTTGTCATCATTGTTTGACATTAGTTTAGTTTTGCTGAAATTCATTTTCAGTCCTTTTTTTAGGGATTCTGTGTGTAGCTCCTCAATCATCGTATTCAATGCCTTACACGTGTCGGCTATTAGTACTACATCATCTGCGTATCTAAGATGGTTCAAGTATCTTCCGTTAATAGGGATTCCCTTATTTTCACAGTCTATTGACTTAAAGATATAATTTTGGAGATATTGGTTGAGTTTTACTGGTCTTATTTCGATTCCATTATCCAACGTCACTATCATTTCAGCTTGTTTGTTAATATTATGTATTAATATTCCGTACCTGTAGTGGATCTGGTTGTTGACTAATGCTTTTTCTATTGTAGCCAGACATAATGGGAGATTGTATTCGTTAGTCTGTTCTATTAGAATTTTCAAAGTATATAAATGGTCACAGGTGCTGTACCCTTTTCTGAATCCGGCTTGTTCTACTTTAATTTTTCAACCTGTTTGTAATGATCTTTGTAAAGGTTTTGTAAAGTTGTGAATGAAATATTGGTCGATAATTTTTCAAGTTTGTGGTGTCTCCCTTTTTGTTCATTAGTATTGTTTTAGCAGTATTCCATTTTTTGGGTATATTGCCTTTGAGTAGACATTTATTAAATAGTATTTTTAGATATGTGATGGCTTCTTCTCCGCCTTCTTTCAGCATTTCTGCTAGGATTCCATCGCTTCCAGGAGGTTTATTCCTTTTTATTTCTTTTACTGCTCTTTCTATTTCTTTGTGGCTTATTTCGGGCATCATTTCTGAGTTAACATTTGTTATCTGCCCTTTTAAGTTCTGCTTTGAGGAGTTATGGGGATCGTTTCTGGAACGATATAGATCGACATAGAACTTTTCAATTGAGTTTGCTATATCAGATTTACTTTTTCCTAGTTTTCTTTGTTCATTTTTAATGGTTTATTATGTTTTTCTTTTCTAGTTTTGGTTTAGTGCATTTAAGACTTCGGTTTTTCTCTGACTTGTGTGCTATACGGTATTCTTGATGTTTTTTAATTTCTTCTGTTTTCTTATTACTCAATTAAGTTCCTTAAATTGTGCAGTGTCTCTTTTGTTTTGTCTCAGAAGATCTTTTCTTTGTTTCAGCATGTTTTGCGATTCTACACTTATTTTGGATTTTCGTTTTCTATTAGCGGTTGCCACTTCTGAGCTTGCATTTAATAGTTCTTTAATTATGATTTCATTTAAGCTAAATTTATCTAGATTTAATACTTTTGTGGGTTTTAACTTACTTTTATATTGTTCTGTATTAGATTTTAGTTTATCTGTATCTATATTCCAAGTTTTTTCTAAATTTATTTCTACTTTTATTATGTTTTATCTCTAATTTGGCTCTAACCATTCGGTGATCGCTCCGGTGGATAGATCTTTTACCATATTACACTTAAAAAGTTCTTTCACACGCTCAATATTATGAGGTTATGTCAGAACTTTTAGGATTAAACTGCTCAATATTACCAATTAAAGCCATAATTTCCACAGCACGTAAATGCAACTATACTCGGTGCCAAATATGTTGTCTTTAATAGTAGAAATGTATATTTATTAGTACTAATAAGTAAAACACATGTGAATTCAACTAACTTGTTTATTGACAGAACTATGACTGAGTGATTGACATAAGACAGAGTATCTAAAACATAAGTGGTCTCTATAACTCTATAACTAAGGGTACTTTCATAACAAAACATACATTGTTATTTGTTGTTAATGTTGTGTTTGTCTTTTTCAGGACTCACTAGCGGCCAATCCATGACTTCAAGCTGTCATCCATCGGATATCCTCTCAGTGGAGGCATTTAAGGCAGGTACATCTTTCGATATTAAAATATTGATCATATAATTAACAGATATTTTTAATTTCAGGGCATCGGAGCAAAAACGACCTTTGAAAACGAGGAAGTTGTGGAAAATTCCGACATAGTCGTGATAGCGACAAAACCATCGATAATACCAATAGCTTTGGAACCGATTAAGAAGAATGAGATAAAGGCCAATAAACTTTTTATGTCGATTGCCATGGGAGTAACGTTGAGACAACTAGAACAAGTAAGTATAAGATGGTTTTTCTTCGTCTTTTTCTCACGTAGATAAATTTATTGACAAGTAATGTTCAGCATATCGTCGGCTTAATTCGCAAACTGCATAACTCTTATCGGTAAAATTTTTCAGGAAACGCTAAAAACTGTTTTCTTTTAATTACAAGACAAATATTAAAGAATAAATGAATCTATAGAAAATGTCACACTGAGAGTGCAGTACGGGTAAGATACGGCAATGCTTTTCTTATGGAGAATAAACGCGCAGGGTTGTCGATTTTCTCCATCTGTCGGCAGTACGAGTAAAATATTTTATATCATGTATACGTATTCAGTAGAATAAAAAGGCATTGATGAGTTATTGACAACGAAAACTATGAATTTTGCATATAAAACGTCAACATGAGATATACAATTGAATCATATTCATAAGAGTAACATTTGAACACCTCTTTACAAGAACAAATACAATAACTGTAGTTTTACTGTTTTACATAAAATAGAAAAAACCTACATAATTTCTAGGAAAGAATTTCTAAACTTGGAAATGATATTATTTATAGATATTATATATAATATTCAAATTTCCAATTCTTTCATAGAAATTAGATTTTTTCTATTGTATGTAAAATATTAAAAATACAGTTATGTTGTCTCTTTAAATAGGTCTTCATTTCTTTTGTAAAACTTCTGCTACAAATTACCATCATTAAAATAATCACCTAAATATGGCCATAAACTTGTTTGTCATAATTAGTATTTGATAAACTCCAAGCTTTCCCTATTTTAGGTGAAAGTGCTTTTGGAAAACGAAACTACACTTCAAAATTTAGTCCAAGTTTCAACAGAGAGCATGGAGTCCCATAAGTTTAAATCCGGTGAATTATTTAATGTGTTTTGTTTTTTACAAAATACGCAACAATTTAATGTAAGTGCTGCTGTAAGACGTACTTCGTTAATGACTGGTGTTAGCGAAAGAAGCATTTACAATTTCAAAAAAGAAAAAGAACAGAGTGGAACGTTGAAATTGCCAAAAAACGTAAAAAACGATTGTGTCAATCAAATTCTAGAATATTCACATATGACGAGGGTGTAAGAAGTATTCTACGGAGAATTGTTCATTGTGAATTTTTCATGAAAAATTCGCCGCTATTCTTAAAGCATATACATAACTTCATACAAGGTAATGAGAATATACAGCCGTTGTCTCTTTCTACTTTATACAGACTTCTGAAAGATATTGGATTTGTTTATAAGAAACGTGGCCGAAGAAGCATCATGGTGGAGCGGGAGGATATTATTCATTGGCGCCATAATTATTTGAGAACTATACAACGTTTGCGAAAAGACCATTGCAATATCATATATTTGGACGAATCGTGGGTTAATGTTGGCCAATCAATAAATTACGAATGGTGCGATACTACGATACAAAACAGTTGTGATGCTTTTCTTAAAGGTTTAAGTACTGGCTTAAAAGCACCTACTAAACGAGGTCCACGATATGTTTTATTGCATGCAGGTTTTTCAGGAGGATTCCTTCCTGGCACACAGCGTGTTTTTCTGGCAAAGAAAAATGATGACGACTATCACGATGAAATGGATGCCGCATATTTTGAGTCGTAGTTTAAGGAGACATTAATATCAAATTTACCAAATAATGGTCGCAGGAATGTCATTGTAATGGACAATGCATCGTACCACTTCCGTAAAGAGAGATTCCCTAACAATTCCTGGAATAAAGCTGCAATCAAGGAATGGCTAGTGGAAAAAGACATTTTTTTCGAGGAGTGTTATTTGAAATCCGAGCTATTAGAAGCAACGCGTGCTTTTAAAGATCCATACGATAAGTATCATCTTGATGAGTATGCTTCACAACATAATGTTTATATTTTAAGGCTTCCTCCATATCACTGCGAATCGAATCCTATAGAAATGGTGTGGAACCAAGTTAAGCGATATGTAGGTACCCATAATACCACTTTTAAAAACGACGATGTATTATACTCCAGTTGATCGACGACGGTTTCGCACGCGTCACAGAGCAAAATTGGCGCAATTATGTCACTCATGTTGTTGAGAAAACGGAAACTGAGATGTGGACTGCGGACAACCTGCAAGATAACGTAGACCAATTGATAATACACGCGAACACAGGGGAGAGTAGCGAAAGCGAATCCGACATCTCGGATGTAGAGGACGACTTTAGTATAATTAATTAAATATCTGTGAGTAACCTCGATTATTTTACACATTAGTTTAATAAAGTATAAATATAATATAATGTTAAATAACTTACACTATAAACCTTATACCTGCTCATCTGGTCAAGTGTGGGCAAGGAAAACCATTATCCCATATGGAATAACTACCAGGTTGCTATGCCAAGGGACTAGGTAAACTTATGTTGTGTGTAAAAAATGCGAGACTGCATTATGTTTTAACAAGGACAAAAACTGCACTTCAGATTTCCACAAAAAAAATTCATAGTAGGTGTTAAAATTTCGCAGTGATTCAAGTGCGCAACTTGTTTTTTTAATAACATCGCCGGGATTAAAAAATTTGCAAAGCTTTTTCGATACTCCCGCTCCTGATAATTTTTCACATATTTACAAAAGAAAAAGTTTTTCTTGGATATTGGGCTGAGTGCACGGAAATCGAGTTATCGGAGGTTCTACCCGGTATATTTATAGCTATCAAGAAATGTAATTTAAAATACATTTGTTAGTTTAATAAAGTATGCAGTTTTGTAATAAAATTCTCGCTAAAAACTTAAGGTCTTTTTATTCAAATTCATGCCTCATATTTGGCTACTTGAAGGCAATTATTTTATCAATATATTATTTTATAATAAATAACAAAGCCCGGCGTAGAGATCTGGGTACGGTTCTGTGACTACCACTTGGACCTGTTTGTATCGCCAAGCACAAGGCGTGAAATCCGGCAATTGTGCAATTCTATATTAGCCGTTCTGCACTCTCGGTGTGACATTTTCTATAGTATAAAGTTTTTACCAAAAATAATGTAGAGCGCGAGAATGCACTTTGAATTTTAGTTATATTAATTCGCTATTAAAAACAAAATAAAGGAGTTAGGTGTTTTTCTTAGTAAAATTTGTCTATAATTTGGAACATTTTTTTTGTGGAATAGCTTGTCATAAAAATCGTGATAATCACGTTCCATAGATAATTTTAATTGCTCAAGGTGCTGAAACTTTTCGTTTTTAATTTCAAGTCTATTTGTATGTAGTTGGGGAAGGGCGATAGAACTAATAGGTACAACATTACTTACATTTAGCCGTACCGGTAACGTTTGCCAATTTTCGGTGTGACGAAGATTAAAAAAAATATACCATCCTTGGAGTATTTTAAAGCTTTAATATCGTTTACAGTGGGTTCACCGACAACAGCTTTGCCTGGTCTTATTGGTTTAACGAACTGAAGGTGATCATTTTTAAAGAAATCGTGCGTTAGATATTCGACATTATAAGGACTTTTAAGGCAAGCAGGTTTACAGATCAATACATAATCTGCTGGAATGTTAATTTTTTTATTTCGAATTTGCCTCTCAATGACAGAGTGGACACTATCCATCTCCATCTGTGTGTGACCTTTTTGTAAATACTTTTGAGTTACCGTTAACCCAGTATCTAAGGCAAACTTTAATAAACTATTTGATAATGGTGAGTTACGGTTTTGGTACCCACAATCATCTCTCCATAATATGATTTCAGTGTCCTCAGTGCTTTTTTCTTTCAAGTTATATAACTGTACCTGCTGATTTAGAAAATGAACAATAATACTCGTAAACTAATTACTTGTGAGCACTACTTCCGATTCGTTCCACAGGTAGCAGAAGCCTTTTTGGCGTTTAATATCATAAATTGTGAAGTTATGCACAATTAGTTTAGTTTTGTAATAGAGGCTGGATAAATTTTATTTAGGACCAAGGAAAACTAATTGAAGATCCATACTAAACACTTCATTATGGGACTCTATCATTATCTTTTTCAATTCTTGCTTCTTTTTTTATATCTGTCATGCTCATTGAAGAGATCTTCTAAAATATTTTGAAAGGAGACACAGGTATCGCACAGATATTTTTTTGGTCCATACAAAAAAGTGTATTTTTTCAAATACTTTGTGAAAAGTAGTTATTGATACCGCTTTCTCATTTTGATTTATGCAAAAATCGGATTTGTAGAACTTATACAGTTGCCTTTTACTAGTCCACATAGGTTGCAGGTAAAGTTTTGACGAAGTAGCTCTACAATAGTGCGATTCAAGTTTTAGTAGAGAATCAAAGAGTATTTGAAGCTGTTTCAAACCATTATTATTATTACCAGAATTTTGATGAGTTTGCACAGTCACATTTGCCTCTAGTCCGATCTTGGGCCATTTCTTAATGATCCAATCCTTCACACCAAGGATGTTTAAAAACATTGTTTTACAAATTCTTAGAATAGGAGAACCTAAGAAGAATTCGTTTGAATATGTTCTTCTCGAAACTTCATTCAGGCCTCGTTTTCTAGAGATACTTTTTACACATACATGGTTTCTTACGAACATCTTCTTTTCGGCCTAAGTATATTGCCAGAGCTCTTTGAAAATTCTTAGTTAGTTTCTTAGTTTCTCTAAGTTTCACTTATTTTAGTGTACATTAGGACTGATTTTTTATTTTTACTTAACTTACAACTATAATTTACTTAACTTTTGCAACTTTCTCTGATGGATTTTGGTTCTTTTAATACCATACTTCCATTTTCCATTTCCTTTTTTATTTCCTTGGTAAAACTTTCATTTTGCTCTATTTAAATTATTTTGGTTCTTTCCACCTATTTTTGTTTATTTCATACTTTGTAGACCGCTTTCTTCTCAGACTTTCGTCTCGAATATCATCTTCATTTATTTCACCATGCTGCAAATCTGAAATACTTTCGGACGATTTAGAAGAGCTACCAGCCAGTAAATTTTTGATATCTTCGATTCTTTCCATATTTTCATTGGGTATTTCTGCATTGTTGTCATGAAAAATTTCATTCTGGTCATGACTTATCTTTACATTTTCATTATTTGTTTCTGCATATCAATCAAGAAGTTCTGTAGTATGTTCATCAGTATCATTAATTATAATAAAAGTAGGATCCACTACGGTTTAAGATATTTTTCCTATCAGGTTATCATCCATTCGCCCTTGAAAAAAGTATGATAAATTATACAAAATGTTCAATTTCATATTATAACAACAACACTGATATATTAATCAATTGCACTATTGACGAGTCAGTCTAAAAAATAGTCCCAAGTTACTTTTTGTATAAATTAAAATAAAATACACTGACACCTAATTATTATTTACTTTTAGACTTTATTTACATGTAAAAAACGAAAAAAAAATATATTTTTTCTCCTAGATTCATCGACTATTTTTTAGGCCCGCACATTGGGTAAGGTTGATAGAAATATAAAACCTAGCATTATGGTCTACAAATATTATTTCCGCGTCTTGTATAATCGTAGTATCTACATCATTAATATTATTTCCTAATTGCTGAAATATAGCTACGGTCGATATTGGATTATTATCCACAATTTCTTGCATGATGACACTCTTATTGGCATTGTTTAGTGCCTAAATTTTTTGTCAATTCGACGGGACATCTTCTGTAAAAAAAACGCTCGAAAAAAAGCAAAAATACAAATAAGGTCAATAAAATGGATTAAAAAATAGACTCTATTTATTGATTTTCAAGCCCACGGTCTCTATAAACATTTAGCATACTTATCCCTTTAGTAGAGCTTTTTTAATAAAAAAATGTTTTTAAATAAAAGATGTTTCGCCACTTATACTTTTAAATTTAGGTAATTCTAACGCCACGCTAAAAATTCGGGGAAAATGCGTATTTTCTGTTCTGATTGTTTATCACCAAACTATATTTTACGAAAATTGTCTGTCTCCAATTACTCTAAATACGACAAATTTACACAATATTTGGCAATAAATATAACATTATAATTAATCTATATTATAACTTAAAATGCTACTTACCTAGTAACAGTGTGTTCCCTTCTGTTTCCCTTCTCTCAACCATTTTCTCCATTCTTCTTTGTCCTCCCATTCTCCGTCTTCCAATCCTCTTCTTTCCATGGCTTCATCTACTGCATCTCTGAAAGATCTTCTTGGTCTGCCTCTTTTGCGTTTTCCTATGGGGTCCACTAAGTTATTTTTGCTATCCATCGGTTTGGGTCTGTTCGTCTGACATGTCCGTACCACGTTAATATTTTTTCTTCAATGTAATTTAAGGTGTCTTTCTTTATCTCCATTCGTCTTTTGATTTCGTCGTTAATTATTTTGTCCATTCTGGAAACTCTGCAGCTTCTTCTCCAGTAGTCCATTTCTGTGGCGTTTATTTTGTTTCTGCTGCTTTTGTTTAAGACCCAATGTTCTGCTTTATGTGTTAGAATGCTGCGAGTCATCGTGTTATAAAATCTTTTTTTGTTATTTTTTGTTATGTGTCTGTCCCATAAGATTGGATTCAGTTGTCTTATAGAGTTTCTGTTTAGAGTTTGACGCACTCGATTTTTAATTTCTTGTTCTGTAGTACCTTTATTTGGTATAATGAACCCCAAGTATTTAAATTTATCGGTCCCTTTTATTTCACGCCCGTCATCCACTTCTAGGTTTTTTGTTGGTTCTTATTTTGTGTTCAGATATTCTGTTCTATTAATGTTTATTTCCAGGCCATTTATATTATATTCTTCTTCAAGTTTTAGAACCATATTACTAAGATCTTCCTCGTCTTGTGCTGCACTATTTACATTTCAAATTTGGGAGCACATGTGCAGTGTTACAACAACAAGGGAGCTACTGGAGTTACGTATTCTGCTATCGCGAAATTGGTGGGGCTGGACTTACAACGTTTTCTGTTGTGAAGTTAATAAATAAGGCAATTCAATATTGGAGTTACCGACTATGTTATCGAATGCTCTCCATTATATGTGAATAGATGACACCAAATTAAAATTTGCACCCATATGTGGAGTTACGCATTTTGCGAATTAAGCCGACGATATATCACTTTGTTTTTCAAAGTTAAATGTGCGTTTGTCATGTGTGTTGGCTTGCCGAGGTGCTAGTAGTATTCGAAAACGTAACATCGCACAGTAAAAATTATTTATTTTGATACTTTAACAATATGTGACAGAATTTGAATTATGGAGTCAAGCTTGCTTGAAACACATAAAGAGTTAAATTTACAAGTCGTGAAATCTGCAAATCATCTTCACGTCTAATTAAAATTTTATACTTATTTGTTGTTTTAATTCATAATTTAAATAACATGTTTAAAATTAAATTAAATAATTTTATTATTTATTTATTATTTTTATAGATTTTAATAAAATTGAAAAAGTTTGCATGTATAACGGACATCTCTTTATACGCAAATGGACTCTTCCAATTGTTTACTGTGACTATTATTTCGTAAAAAGCCGTATTTAATATGTGACTCATAGTCAATTTCAAATTTAATCTCATCTATTATTTTTCTGTTTCATCTACTATCTTTTATTGACAGAGATAATTTTAATTTTTCATTTAATGTCTTTATTGTTTTATTTTTCGTGCAGTTTTTAATTCAAACCTACTTAGAGTAAATATATGATCTAGAAACGAATTGATCGAGAGTAGTAATCGATGTGAAGAACCCCTATTTTGTGATGCTACCCGTGACGACGCCATCTTGTCGCACTAGTTCTGTGAGGCTTTCCTCAGCATTTTACTATAGATAAAAGTCTATTATAGAATATATTAAATCTATCATACTTTTTTTAAAATAATTGTTTGATATACCATCATTCTTTATTTCTTTTAAAACTGACAATATCATTGATTCTTTTTCATCTTTTTGTTTCAGTTATTGCCTACGGAAGCCAGAGTAATCAGAGTAATGCCGAACACACCCGCGTTGGTCCAAAACGCAGCATCTGTATTTGTTAGCGGCAAAAACGCAACCAAAGATGACGCCCGAGTTACTAGAAAACTACTTCAATCTATCGGAACATGCGAAGAAGTGCCCGAGAGTTATCTCGATCCCATTACCGCACTAAGTGGGTCTGGACCTGCATATGTAAGTAATAGATAAAGATCGAAAAAAGTTAGAAGAATCATAGATCTTCTTTTGGTGACTATTCGTTTCGAATATTGGTGATCATTCTGGCTATAATTATTTTATTAATTGATGCTTTAAATAGATTAGTCGTTGTTGTAGAGAACCATTTCCTCAGGTTCTTTAACCATGATATTCTTCTTCTCCCAATTCCTCGCTTTTCGAATACTTTTCCTTGAAGGATTATTTTTAGTAATCTGTATTTAGTGCCAAATTCTGAAACTAGCCAATCTTTTGGAATATTTTCTGTATCATAGATATTATTGAAGGTTTTACATAGTATTCTTAAAGATTCATGATCAAGGCGTTTAAGAAATTCAGACTATACTCCGTCTGGTCCTGAAGCTCTGCCTTCTTTTAGTGATATTATGACTGCTCTTATTTCTGCCACTAGTACAGGCGGTCCTGTTTCCCTAGGTATTGGGGACTGGTTCTCCCTCTCATCAAAAAATAAATTTCGTATGTAATTTTTTCAGGTATTATCAATACTCTCTTTGTCCACGATTACCTCTCCGTTGTTTTAAGTAACAGTAAGGTGACTTACTGTTCTGTTTTTAAATTTGCCTGTAATTTCTCTTACCTTTTTATGCATGTTGAAGCCGTCGTATTTACTTTCTAGAATTTCGATATTTTGGCATTTTTTTCTCCAGTTCTTCCTGTTTGGCTTCTCTGATCTTTCTCTGTATATCTCATTATAATGTTTTATACATAGAGTTATTGTTCTTGTTTTCCCTTCTTTCTTCCATCAGCTGCAAAATCTCTGTCGTCATCTATGTCTTATTCTTCTTCGTTCTTAATCTTCTTCGCTCTTCAAAAATGTCGTGTATCGTTTTATTAAGGGATTCTATCTTCTCTTCTGTGATTTGCGTTGTATTATCGATGTCTTTGAATTTTCTATTTATTGTTTTGCTGACTATTTCTTTTGCTTCACTACATTTCAGTTTTCTCATGGCATGCTTTTTGCAGTTTCTCCGCGTGTTTTCTTGAACTTGGTTCCATACACTCCCACTAAATGATTGTGGTCAGATTGAATATCAGCTCCTAGGTAGGTTTTAACACTATAACGTCTTCTCTGTTGCCTCTAGGTGATTTCTACGTATATAGGCGTCTAGGTGGTAGTTTGTAAAATGTATTTAGCACGATTAAGTCATGTTCAGCTACAAAGTTACTCATTGATATGAGCATCATTTATGAGATACATCATAGATATGATTAAGAATCTAAACGTCAAAATGCCAATTCAAACAGAATTTCTAATGAATTATGACAAATTAATGTTCTTTAGAGAATATTTATTACATTACATAAATACAGAAACAAAATTAGTAATAAAACGGACTAAATGTTTCAAAACTGTTTTAGGTATATGTGATGATTGAAGCGCTTGCTGACGGTGGTGTGAAGATGGGTTTACCGAGAGATCTAGCATACCGATTAGCGTCCCAAACCGTACTCGGAGCAGGGCAAATGGTAAGGGATACCCAAAGGCATCCTGGTTCTCTTAAAGACGATGTTTCTTCACCATCTGGGTCCACAGCCTACGGGTTACATTATCTAGAAGAAAAAGGTAAACATAATTTTAGTACCTTGTGCACTTTGGAGGATAATTTTATTTATTAGTATACAATAGATTAAATTAAGATAGGATAGGTCCATATTATAGTACACTGTAACTGTACGATTTTTATGCTCTTTCTACACCAATTGAGCTGTGAGGTGATGCTGTGGTGTTTGTCTTGAACTGGATATCCAGTGGACGTCATATTTGGTGAAATGACGGAAAGATGAGAGATCAAAATAAAAAAATGTCTATCTGGCGTCAGATATTGTTTATTTGACCATTTCTTTTTATTTTCCTTAACAAAATTAAAACAGCAATTTTGTCTAGAATTTAACAGGTTGGCTACCACTGATACTGTGATGATTTTGCGTTGTGATACCATCTGTATCAGAGGTGATCAACTTTCTTGGTGCAGAGTATAGTTTAAATGGCCATTAATATAGTTGGTATGTAAGATCGGGCAAACACAGTCTGCCGGTTGGATGTAAGTGAACATAATAGCATGTCGCACAAGTGGGCATCACGCGTGATTCCTCTTAGTCATCATTTTCTCTTTTTTCGATTATTGTTTGTTTTTTCAATCGTTTTTTTTTTTTAGTACATGCTTGTTTTTGTTGATATTTTTCTCGTTGTCTGCAATATCGCCAAGCAAGACCATCACATGTGCCTCTTTATATCAGCTATTTGAATTTTGTTATCATTTGATATTTGGTATAAGATGAGAGCATTGATTACTGATGTTCCAAACAGATACTCAAATGTAACCTTATGGTACCATCGCAAACATCGACAAAGGACGGTAAAATAGGAAGCCATTTGATCTGATAAATCAGTACCCATTTTAAACTTGTTATAAAACGCAACAGCTTCCGGTTTATAAATTGATTCTTTTTGTTAGTTTTTTTGTTTGTATCTTCGATATTTAGTGTGTGTCTCATACTAATAAACCTAAGATAGTTTCCAATAGCATTACCATTACTTTCTTTTACCTTGATGTTTCCTCTTTTCATTTTTTTTTCATCCTAAGTTTCTCTTGATACCCCTTTCACATATTTTTGCAACGTACCAACGTTGTGAGTTTTTTTTTTAAATTAAATCTGCCAATTCTAAATTTTCCATTCATCCATGCCATTCATCAAAAATTGACTATATTGCTTCTTCGTCCCGCAGTAACCGTGTTACTGTTTTCCTTATAAATTTCATTGTCATACGTATATCCACTTTCGTCACATAGCTTTAAAAAATTTTCACACCATATTTTGAGGCCATTTCTGGAATATACTGCCGGAACAGTAACCTTTCTCTAAATGATACGATAGATTCATCTATGGACACTACCTCTCTAGGAACCTTTAGTTACTTAAGATTCTTAGTCAACGCATCTTTCTTCTTCTTCTTATTGTTCTTCTTCTTCTTCTTCGCTAATCCATCTGGTCCCATTCGGTTTAAATGTTTGTTCCAGTTTTTTTTTTCTTGTTTTTATTCACCTGTTAATATTTTGAATTTTCTATTGTTCGCGTTGTTCTATACTTCTGTTGGTTTGCCTATCGCTTAATGATATACCCGCTATTGATCTTAATACTTACATTTTAATATTGTTGATTTGTTGTTTCATCTTTCTTGTATCGGTCCTTGTCTCCGCTGCATATGTTAGGATTGGTCTTACTGTTGTCTTGTACACTTTCATTTTGCTTTCCGTGGTCATATATTTGTTTCTTCATATGGTTTCTCGGAGGCAACCACTTACTCTTGCCGCTTTTGATACTTGCCTTGTGGTCTCCTCTTATCTATCCCTCTTATATCCCTCTCACTAGTGATCTCTACTTCTAAATAATTGAATTGCATTACTTGTTTTATAATTTTGCCGTCTATTTCTATTTTGCATCTACGCGGCTCTTTACTGATCACTATACATTTAGTTTTTTCTACTGATATTCTCATATTAAGTTTGTTTGCTGTGATATTGAGGGTGTGGAGCTATCTTTGTAGGTCATCTTCATTATCAACAATTAGTACATCACCGGCATAGCATAGTATCGTGATTTTATGCGCCCCCATGTGAGAGAACGCATCTGTGAGAGGTTTTATTTTGTAGAGACGATCATCTTTATTTGCCGATTGGTTATCAGCGAAATGAATAAACCGTAATATGGCATGGATTCTATTTCTATACATAATAATATGGCGAAAAAAAAAACAATACAGAATACGATACAGAAATATTCGCGACCAGTAATCTGATATTTTTAATAAGTTAACTAGTCTCATATACAACAAAATCGCAAAGAACTTTTCGATTTTTTCAGAAGACACGTCATTCCACTTTCGTTTGTACTTTTTAGCATTTTTGTTAGTTAGTAAGTTTCCAAGACTTTTAAGTTTTTTATTTCCAATACTATTTCCAAGTTTTAAAATATCCGAATTAACAATAAGTCTGAAAATATCCACAGGTAATAAAGTGCAAGAAACATTTATTCTGCCTGCATCAGAAAAAGCAAATTGTTTCAAAGATGATCTATCTACATCATTCCATGAAATTGCAGTAGATTGATTGACATTTTCATTACTTATTGCTAAATCTAAATTGTGGCTGGAAGTTTCAGATTCTGCTTCAGACTCAGATTCTGATTCAGAGCGTGCCTCGTTTTCCTATTCCAAATTGGGAAATGGTTCCTCGTCACTACCTTCTAAGTTTTGGTTATCGCAACGGTATAGCCTTGTTGGTCCACCAGTATTTATATCTTCATGGTACTCGTCCTCTTGTAATTCATTGTCACCCTGATCTCTTTCACCAATTGTTTCTAAAGATATTTATATAAACTTGAATTTATTACCTTCTGCTTCCAGCTCATTATATCATTGAAGTAATTTTTGTTCATTTTTAGGATCCATATTTTACAATAAAAGCACTAGGAAACAACCTAGATACACTTACACTACAAAATAACTAAACAATTAATTAAAACACGAAAACTACACTGTTTTGGTTCATTTATATACCATGTGAATCCCCGGTGATCACAAGCAAATTCCACCTAAAGATTCTTCCGATATCAAATTTAAGTCGTCCAGAGTGACGACTTAAATTTGATCTATAAATCAGAGAATAAATTTATAGCCAAATTTATGCCTTTATAACAGCGACTGAAGCTGGTGTATCACCTGTGATTCATATGGGAGCCAACCTGTTAATATTACATTAGATATATTTTTATATTTTAGCATTAGTAGGTATATAATATTTAGTATTATATCTGTACATTTTTATTGTAGGTTTCCGAAGTGCTGTGATAGGTGCAGTGGAAGCCGCCACCAAACAGTGTAACACGTTTTCATCAAAAGGACTCCAATGATGACCGTTTCATATTTCATTGTGATATTTATTAGCGTTTATTTATATTGTATTACAAAACATATTTATCTATAGTAACAAAATAGTAGCGTAAGAAATGTAAATTTAACTTATTTATTTTTATAAATAAATATTTACTGAAATATTTTTTGTTCCAATTTATTTGACATATCCAACTCCCCTCGTAACTGAAATTGCTTGCTCATGAGACACTGTTGCCATTGTTCAAAATTGATACTGTCATTACACATTCTGGGCAAGAATTAAAATTTGTTGGTCTGAAACTGATGTGCTTGGTTAAAAGTTAGACAAATTTAATAATTGTTAAACTTGTTTACAAATAAATGATACAAATGAACTCAAATAGAACAGCAGCTGTCAAAATTATTAAAAATTGCTTATTAATATTATTGATTTGTAAATAAAAACATGAAATTAACATCAGACAGAGTTTACTTATGGTTTATTTTAAATTATAACGTAAAATAATAAAATTGAATAAAATAAATCAGTCAACCTAACCCAAAACGTGACATTTGATTTTAATTAAATATTTTGGCGTTTATCAATAATATATTATATTATGACAAACGTAGGTAATCAAGGATCTGCTTTTGTATAATGTAGAACATGTAGAAGGTATAATCAGAATAAATTCTATAAAATCTAACTGCCAGACTTAAAATATTTCAAAGGGGCCTGTAGTATAATAACTGTCAACGTTTTTATAATTCAATGGTATTGTTTCTTTTATTATTACACCTATGTATGGATGCCTTTTTCATTCTTATTAAAGAATGTTTGTTTCTTAGTTGAATAGTTGAATCAGTTGAACAAAAATTCTTAATTTTGTATTTTCCAGAAGTGCACTTTTTATTGTTCTATACCTATTTTATTTTTATTTATTTTATATTTCAATAATTTAATTATTAGTAAATTTCAAGAAACTGTATGGATTTGGCAACATACTATATGAAAAAGAACTACAGTGATTGGCCAAAAAAACAATAACTCTCAACTTTATTATTTGACAGCTGACACTGACAGCTGTTTTATTGTGTTAACGGTGATGACTTGAACAAATAATTTCATCTTTGTAACAAAAATAGACGTCTTTTAATTAACATTACTTTTTTAATTGTGAAGGTGAACAAAACAGCTCGTGTAATTATAAACTCGTATTGTGACAGACTCTAATGTAGTGTACGGTATCGAGAAATATCGAAAAAAAATATCTTTTCACAATGGAAGAAGCAATGGATGTAGATTCTAAAGAGAATTCTCTGAAAAATCCGAAATTTCAGAAAGAAAATGTCTACAATAAGCTACTTCCTTATGCTGACGAATTGGAGGTGGAATCAGCACAGCTGTTCCAGGATATTAAGACCAATTTGATAAAATCTGTTTTGGCTAGAGAAATGAGACCTAGCTGTGCTTTATGGACGTCCAGGCTGATGAAGTAAGCTATACAGTACAAGTACAATTACATGCACTTTTTGGTTTGCATGCACTCACATTCATGCTCATTCAAATAATCATCCCATTTTATTGTCTCATCATGATATTGTGACATTTGACATTTTCATTCATCATCCACTTATGGTTCTAAAAGGGCTGAAAAAACCTATCATAAAATATCATTTGATTGTATTTTTAACAATTTCATCTCATACTTTCATCAAATTGTATTAATTCCCATTCAGAAAGAGAAAAAATGTTTACCATTATCCAATCCTTTGTTATTATTTTAAAACAGTTGAAGCTTGCTAATGATTCCTCTTGTTTTCTGTATACATAACTTCTTCACTAATCTATTGGAGCTACAATTAAGCCAATGCCTTACTTCTGTTTTTTCACAAATGTCAAGATTGGATTTTTCTTGCTTATAGTAAACATGTGCCTATTTGATATTTTCTTTCCACTTTCCTTTCTTTTCCTCTTCTCAGTATATTGTTTTATATTATTATTGAAATATTTTTTCTGCTTCCTCTATTTTATCCAGAAGATAGAAATATCTTGCTTTAATAATTTTTTTACATCAAAACTCATCTTATCTAAATCCCTTCCTTTAAGTTATTTGTTTTATTCATATTTTTTTATTAACTTGGTCATATTTCTTAATATTCTTAGTTCTTTCATTGTGCAGAACATTGGTTTAGCTGCTTTATTACTTCTAGGTGATACCTGATATGCCCATGGGTGTAATTGCACCTCCTGTCCTGAAACAAAGTATATAGCTACACATGTCTAGTTCTATATTTTATATTGGTGGTGCCCATGCATGCACCTATTTCTTTGTATGCTTATTTACTAACTCTTTTCCTTGTGCACTTCATCAGTATTTTATAGCTTAAGGTTGATCTGCACCCCTCAAAAGACAAACTCCAGATTCAAAAAATTTGAGAACATATATGTGATGACTAGAAGTATTTTGACAACTTTTAAGCAAACTTCATGTTTTCGTTTTTGAAAAAACTCAAAAAAACTACTTTTTTCCAAGTATAAAGCAGGAAAACCAAACATAGGATTTTGTTAATTTTTTTACAGCATCAAGATATACTTATAAGAAATACTTATGAATTTTTTGAAAATTTTTGAATTTACAATTTTGTCCCAATAGTAAAAAATAATATGTTTCGGCTTATAATAAAGCTACCGGTAAAAAACCGAACAATTTTTTAATAACAACATATATGAAACTGTAAAAGTGGAAAATATTTGCAATAAAATGTTAAATATTTTTTCCTAAACATATGAAAAATCTCGTTAAAACAAAAATTATGTCTTGAACTGCCGCTTTCAAATTGTAATGTTGGGAGATGGCACCATCTGAAGCAATGGTAGTATTTATCATCTATAGATAGCATTATGTTCAGCTTCGAAAACACTTCAAACAAAATGTCATACTAACAGGGTTACCATATCAATTACTTTTTACAACAGTTTGACAGATTATCAAACTTAATAGGAATGTTATCTGTTTAAATTTTGAACTGGTCATGCTGAAACTTAGAGAGTTACAGAATAGTAGATACTGCAACTTTTATTTTGAAAGTACGATATCATAAAATTTACACTCTATAATATATCTATAAAAGACCTATTTAGTTTTAAAAACCTATTTAGGCATTTTTAGTTAATTATTTTAGTATTTATAAACAATAGAGTAGGTATACCTTTATACCTGTAGTCTAATTAATTTTTAGTATCTCATTATGAAGTACAAAGTATTATTTTGAAATTTTCATTCTTCATTGTTCCAAAAACACCATTTTTTAGAACTCAGCACCATACAAATGTTTGATGAAATGGTTTCAGCATAACTTGCAGAACAATAATTAGAAAGTGATCCTCCTCATTCTCAAATAGTAGTCCTTATTGATATGCAAGTTATTCTGAATCAATTTCAGCAAAAAAATTGTATGCCGTCTCACAACAATCAACCGAAACAATTTTTTACAGATCCTCCCCATTAAAAATGCCTTTCCGTCAAAATTCGTGTATGTCGTTCTGAACAACAACTCATTTTTACCAAACTTTGCACACAATTATATAATAATAGTTCATAGTTTAATACAGAGCTGTATACAGGATGATTTAGAGAATACTTTATTTTTGGTCATAGTTTTGCAATTTTCATATTATATACTTAGTAAATATTACCAAGACCTTTAGAATGGATTTCTAGGGCGTCTAACAATATGGCGATCGCTATAACATCATAAAATTCAAACCAATATTTTTAAATTAGTCTTGGAACAAATCAACTGATATAAATAGGCTTTGCTCGTTTTTGTAGTATAACTGATGTCACAAAAACACTAGAAAAGTTTATGAAAGTTTATCTTCTTTTAATTTTCTTCAACTTTTACAAAGAAATAATATAGGCATAATAGCCAATTAGTAATACAACTCTATAAATATTAATTTGTCACTTCTAGAGAAATCTGTATTATTATACTCTTTGTATATATCATTTTAGGATGTTATAGGATTTTCAATTATGGTTCTAATGATATAAATATGTGTGTAGGTTTTTAGTTTGTTTTTAAATAATATTAGGATAGGATTCAAAAAAGGAGATCGAATCTGGTAGATGTTTATATTGCTGTGTAAAATTCACATAAAAAGAATGGCTTAATTAATTTTAAAATATTCAAAAGTGGTAAGTGATAACAAACGCATATTACAGTTAAAGGGTAAGTTCATACCACCTATTTTTATTATGGTTTTCCAATTATTTACTACTTACTGTTGAAATATAAAGTGATAAAAAAATCAATAATTATTGTCTGCTGTTCTTTTAGCTGTACTTTTACCTGTAGCTTACAGAGCTGGAATGTGAGAAGTCATTAGCAGCAATAAAATATTAGGCTAGTCAAGTAACAGTGACAACAGTCAAGTTGTCGATTGTTAGCAATAAAAATACCTTTAATTGTATGTCATGCAATTTACCAATTCATATTCAATGTTTAGATATTGCACAAGAAGAAGTTATAACAATAACTAGGACAAAATCGAAGTCACTAAGAATCGTCTGTAATAGTTGCTGTACATTCGAAGATAAGTTCAATAAATTAAGGTGATTTAATTTCTGTTATCACATAGACTCGCATCAATTGAGGATCGTCTCGAGGTGATGGAACAACCTTCTCAAACTAACTCAATGGAGTTCGAGGATTGTATTCAAGAACCAAATATTCGTTATCAGTTTCCATGTTTTTCGTGTATTGGAAAGATTATCAATAGTAATAACCCTAAGCATTAAAGATTAAATTTGCAGATAATGATAGTCCATTATTTATGTTGCTCAATAGGATGAGGTAGGTAGGAACCAAATTTTCTAGAATTCAATTGAAGAATGACTTAACTAAATATGAAATAAACTATTTGAACAAAGTGCGAGAGGAACTGGCAAAACGTAAACTACTTAACAATTAACTAACAATAAAGTATATTAATAAAGTTCCAACTATTATTAGTACTAACCAACAAAATACCACAAAAAACAAATAGAGTTGACAACAATAAATATGAAATCGTACGCTTCCACGGCCAGAGTCAGAATTATAGTTTATTCGTCTTCCGGGTTTGGACCGTGTCATTTGTGAGTGACCCAAAAGTGGGTTCATCTCGACGTTTCGCTACAATTGTATGTAGCTTCTTCAGGAGAACAAAGAAAAAGAAAACAAAAGACAGGAAGATGGGTAGTTAGCAACGGTAACTCAGTTACTCAACGCAACCAGAGGCGAATACTAACTACCAAGATGGGCATTTGGTCACAGTAACTCAACTACTCAACGCAGCCAGAGGTGAAAACCAAATGCCAGGACAGGGATTCACGTCCAACAGCTCCCTGGGATTCACTCCCCGCCTCTCGACGCGTTAGTGTTCTGAGCTGTTCAGCAGCTCAGTCCATTCCAGCATACCAAGTCACCTAGGGCTCGATAACATGGAAAGAGTCACACCAGAGCTCAATGCTTTTGATACCTTAGGCTATGATATGTGAATTTTCCCCTTAGAGGGAGTGTGAGCCGTATGGCTAAATCTGGATAATACTCAAAAGCAAACTTAATTCCAAGCACATAGTAAAAGCAATAAACACACGCAATACCACCTTTCACATAGTCCTCATTTGGCGTTATAAAATCGTCGAATACGCATCAACCACCCCAAATCATACATCCAACGTATGACTACCACGCACACAAGGCGCGAGAAGGACGGAATATTTTGGAAATATCACCCACTACTTAAAAATAAAAGAAAAACAGACAAAAATATATAGAGCAGCAATTAGACCGATGATAGGATACGGAGCAGAAGTAATGTGTCTTATGAAAAAAGATGAAAAAAAAGTAAGAATTATTAAAAGAAAAATTGTAAGAATAAACAGACCAATAAAGCCAGAACAAGGAGAATATAAAAGACTAATAAAGCATGAAATAAGAAATATAAATGTAACCGAAGAGGAAGACAGTAAAATTAATTAATCCATAAAGACTGTTTTAAATAACATTTCTGTTATTTCCCACTAAAATATTACAAAATACATTCATTCAATACAACCATTTAATTTTTAACTATCAACAAAAATGTAATATAATATGATGTATGAATTTAATGGTAATACAATATACAATAAGATAAAATTGTTTAGATAATGAATGTTTATTCGGTATATTATATTCTGACTGACACAGGAGTGCAGTAAATTATTATACATAAAGATGTTGTTAAAAATATCTTTACTTAGTTGGTCTACTAGTAGAAGTTATAGCGTATTTGATAAAATTACTGTCTTCACATCTTGGCAACTCAGCCAATGGATATAATGATAGAAAACTGCAATTTATGTTAGGGTTTAAAAATATTACAGTCATCATATAGAAATCTACAATTTTTTATCAAATACCCTATACCTTATACTAGTAGACCAACTAAGTAAAGATATCTTTA